GATTGTCCACTCCGCAGACCTGCGCAAAAGCCGGACCCGAACAGCAGACGTCCTGGCCTCAGCTCTACGAAGCCCAGCGCGCACCGGCTGCGGCGGTCGAGGCACCCGCCGCGAATTCTTCGTCTGAGCTGTTCAAGCTGCAGCAGGCTGCAGTCGGCACATTCGGGTTTGTTATGGTCTAGATTGCTCATCAATAGTGTTCTATCACGTTTGAGATTGCTCTTCAATGTTACAGCCAAGCTTTTCATCCGAATGTTTGTGATATTCTTGAAGGTCGAGTCAGTCAAGAGTGGTATGTGCAGCGTCGCTCATCATATGGTAGCGTATAAGCTATTTGGCAACTCTCAAGCCGCTAGCTGCACCAATTAAGGACCAACCCCAAATTCGCTTCTTCTTTGTAACTAGGCTTTAGGATCCGTCTGCTTACATGTACCTGCAATGCAGGTACAAGTCGTGGCGGATCAAAGCTGCGTCGTGGCTAGATATAGGTGATTTTGGTGAAAGCTTAGCAAGCAAAAAAATGGCTTGGAAAACTTAATTTCCGTTGGCACATTCAATACTGCGAGGTACAGCCTTGTCGCAATCTAGAAAGCTTGGCAGAGTCCACAAGCCTCTGAGAGCTCTGGCATATAATTTGGGTCCTCCATATGACGCCACGTGAAAATTACAGACGGCAAATAAATACTAGAACTAGTCTAGAGTCTCTATACCTAATAATCATTTTTATAATTCTAAAGTTATTCATATAGAAATATTTAAAAAGTTTACTAGAATATCTAGGGATAGGTGTTAAGCCACGGGGGCATCCAGTACTAACGTCGGTATGGACGTTAGCGACCGGTAACTTGCCACTTTCGGCAAGTCCTCTGCTCTAGACCGAAATTCAGTCAACAGAATCGCAATACTCGAACGAGCACTATTTTACTGGCAGATATGCAGTTAGAAGTAGTGTGTAGATTGATGATTCTTCTTTGCTAGCTAGACTTTCTTGGCTACTTATATGTTTCTATCCTAGGCACGTGAGTGTTGTCGGTTATGACAACGAGTGCGCTAGTATAGACGTAATAATAGGATTTACTTTTTATAATAGCTAGTCTAGTCTTAAAAAGTTTTATTTATTACCTGACTATATTTTATATAATTATAAGAAGTGCGTAGGAATAGCGAAGAGCTATAACTAGGACCTTAGAAAGAATTCTTTAAATATAATTAACTAGGCCTATAAGACATTCCTATATTACTATAACCCTCTACTTTACCTACTAGGTGAATAATAAAGGGTGTGTATTAGGTCTTAATCGCTATAACTGCTTAGTATATATCTAAGGCTTACTAACTGTGGTGAAATGTATAGCATGACTCTGTAAATATAGATGATGTAGCTTCTAATATGGCGTGAACTTAGCCACGCTTTTAGATGATTCGGAGACCTCGAACCATTTTGAGACTTGAGAGCTGCTTGGCCAGCACCGACCTCCGCCCGCAAAACGTTCACCGGTGATAGGCAATAGGGCTCAAGCAAATAACACTCCTTGGCGAAGCCCGCGAAGCAATAAGCACAAGCCTGATTTGAGTTGAATTGCTTATTCTTTAACGTCGTGACGTTCTTAATGAGGGCAAAAGGCAGCCACCAGGGCGAAGCCCGATGATCTAGGTACAAAAGAATAAACTCTAAATCCAAGTGGGAAATTAGGGGGCTTTCGCATTGTTTTTCGTGATGACTGGGTAGTCTGACCTCTCAGGGGTCATTAGTCGGGGCTTGAAGGTTGACGAATGCTATAAACGCAAGAAGCACAAGCTATACGGCGGCTACGACCACGTTGGCGACAGACATAAGCCTCGTCCTATTTTACGGTAGCATTCCGAGCCGATTGCCTTGAATTCCCTCCCTTCTTCAAAACTTGACCCACCAGCGGCAGGGGAGGGGGGGCTACCACTAGTTATGCTCTTTATGGCGACGTGCATTTGCGTGCAGAACGCAGCCCAAACCAATTAGAGCCTGACACGACAACACGGCCTGAGTCATATAGCACAACCTCTTTAGTAACGGCACTTCAGAGAAAGCAGAGAGCTCAGTCTCCTTTCATTAATACTTATACTGTAGCTTCAGTATTCACCTTATAAATAACATGCGGCCCTGGTCTCGAAATACAAATGCCAATGGGAGCGGAAGGCGTGGATGACAACGTGGAGGGGATAAGTGAGTAGCAGGCACGTCCATCTGCACCGCCAGCTGGACCTCGCGGTGAAGGGTGGGTGGCGATGTGCCACCACACCAAAATCAGGTATAGATGCAATTTCTGGTCAGGTGCTTGGCAGTGCATGTTCCGCAAGTGGAGGCGGTTCAGCTGAGCACACGGCCGCTGGTTGGCGGGCGGGGTAGATATCCGGTGTTAGCCTGGCTTCCGATCGGAGTTCTGCTCCGCTATATCCACTACTTCATCCTTTCCCCTTGCTCTCGCTGTCGATGGCATTATGACCTGAACACCTCAGGAACAAATCCTACTTCTTCACTTACTATGTTCAGAGGCGCCAGAGCTAATGAGGGGAGAGGGCGTGGTGGCTTTCGTGGAGATCGTGGAGATCGTGGAGGCTATCGTGGAGATCGTGGAGATCGTGGAGATCGTGGAGATCGTGGTGGCTATCGTGGAGATCGTGGTGGCTATCGTGGAGATCGTGGTAACCGAGGGCGCGGTACAGGGCAACAAGGAATCGAAATATTCGTGTTCGAGTTTTCCAACACAACTCGGAGCAACAGAATCTAACTATCTCTCAGCAACCCTCATCCTCGGAATCCCCAAGTCGGGCAGGCAGAGGACGCGCTACACCCCATCACAAAGAAAGCGTTCGGATTCGACAGGTTGAGCATTGGTGACCGTCTGCCAATACGTCCAGGTTATGGCACCAAAGGAGTTAAAGTTGAGCTCACAGCCAACTACGTCGAGTTACTGCCGCCATCGGATATACAACTCTATCTCTACAGCATCCAGATCAAGCCAGAGCCGGCACGCAGACAGCATTTTCGGCTTGTGGAGCTTCTACTACAATCAGAAGAACTCGCACCACAGCGAGACGAGCTTGCTACAGATTTTCGTTCGACTCTGATCTCCAAAATGAAGCTTTCCTCCAATGATTTTATTGTCAAGATCCAGTATCGGGCTGAAGGCGAAGACGAGCCGCCTGCAGGAGCCGCCCATTATGCTGTGCAGGTAGCATACACGACCACTTTGCACATGAGCGACTTGATGAACTATCTGGCCTCTACAAATATAGACGAACGATTTGAGGAGAAAAGCGTGTGGGAGCAGACCTTCAACATCTTTCTGAACCACTATGCCAAGGCAACGAAAACTCTGGTCGCGATCGGGACTTCCAAAAGTTTCTCGCTCAGCCAGCTCACAGGGCGAGCGGATCTAGGCTCCGGTCTGCAAGTCCTTCGAGGCTTTTTCTCAAGCGTACGCATTGCTACCGGCCGTGTTTTGGTGAACGTCAACGTCAGCCACGCAGCTTTCTACCATGCTGGGCCCTTGCCAATGTTGATGAATAGTTACGGTGTTCGCAGCACCACCGCGTTGGAAAGGTTTCTGAAGCTAGTTCGAATCCAAACTAGTCATCTGCCGGAGAAACGTAATAAAGCTGGTGAGATGATCCCCCGTCTGAAAACGATTTTTGGGCTGGCGAGAAAAGATGACGGGCATGGGATGGCGCACCCGCCGCGCATCTTGCATCATGGAGCGGGAGCCAAAGACGTCCAATTTTGGCTCGAAGGTGATGCCTCTGCCGGAAGTAACTCAGCAGCCAAAGCAGCGACGGAGAAGAAAGGCAAGGCAAAGGGCAAGGGCAAACCCCAACCGGCCGCCTCTGCGTCGGGCAAGTACATCAGTGTTTTCGACTTTTTTAAGACCAGTATGTTGGCTGTCGTAACATGCCTTACCTTTTCTGACTATGTGGCAGCATATGACCGAACTCTGCAGCATCCAGAACTTCCGTTGATGAACTGCGGCAGTCGCGACCATCCGATGTACCTCCCGGCTGAAGTGTGCGTGGTGGTTCAAGGTCAACCGTCCCGGTCGAAACTCGACAGCAACCAAACACAGCAAATGATTCGCCACGCCGTTCGCAAGCCGTGGATCAATGCCGCCTCGATTGCCGCGGAGGGCATCTCTACCGTGGGCCTCGACGAAAACTCCAATGTGCTTCTGGTGCGTCTCGTATTCTAATGAGATGCTAATGTGCTAACTAGGTGCAGAGCTCATTCAGCTTCGGCATAACGCCAGGTCTCATCAAGGTCCCTGGACGGGTCCTAGACTGTCCTCAAATCATGTATAATAGTGTCGACAGGGGAAACAAGACAGCTGATCCGCGTTTCGGTAGCTGGAACATGATAGACATCAAGTTCAACGCCGGCGTTGTGCTGTCTCAGTGGTCGTATATGATGATTTCGCTGACAGGAGTGAGGGATCCCTTCGACCAAAAAAGTCTAGCAGACGTTATGCAGGAGTTTCATCGATCGTTGGTCAAGATGGGTGTGAGTGCCGCACCTCCGATGACAGGCCAACGACTACTACTGCAGCATGCGGATGATGCTGCACTTGGCACTGTCCTGCAGAAGGCAGCCAATGCGCTGAAACTTCTCATCATCATCCTGCCCGATGCCAACACATCACTATACAAACACATAAAGTCGCTCGCTGACAAAACCTATGGGATTCACACTGTTTGCTGTGTAGGCCCTAAACTGGCGAAAGCTCACGGCCGAGATCAGTACATCGCCAACGTCGCTCTGAAGTTGAACCTCAAGCTCGGTGGCGTCAATCAAATCATGAGCGACCGACAGCTCGGAATTATCGAGCAGAACAAGACTATGGTTGTTGGCATTGACGTCACACACCCCTCGCCGGGCTCGTCATCAAACGCTCCTTCCGTCTCCGCTATGGTCGCTTCTATCGACAGATTTCTAGGTCAATGGCCAGCCACATTGCGCGCACAGACGGCAAAGCAGGAAAAAGTAGACGACCTCGGCGATATGTTGAAGTCGCGTCTTCAACTCTGGAGGAGCTTAGGCAAGCACGCGGCTTTTCCGGAGAATATACTCGTCTTTCGCGACGGTGTCTCTGAAGGCCAGCATGACATGGTTACCTCTCAAGAGCTACCACAGCTCCGTCACGCATGTGAACAGCTTTACTCGGCAGCTGACACACGAAATGGTCTCCCACGCTTCACCGTCATCATCTGCGGCAAACGACATAAAACTAGATTCTATCCCACTATGGAGAGAGACTGTGACAGATCCGGCAATACGAAACCTGGCACCATCGTGGACCGAGGGGTCACCGAAGCGAGGAACTGGGATTTCTTTCTACAAGCACATGCTGCATTGCAAGGGACAGCGCGCCCATGCCACTACTACATAGTTCAGGACGAGATTTTCCGCCAGCTCTACTCGAAGGCGAATTTGGCTCCATTTCAGAACATTGCCGACGTTGTGGAAGATCTCACACATAAAATGTGCTACTCCTTTGGTCGAGCAACAAAGGCTGTGAGTCTATGTACACCTGCATACTACGCAGATATTGTGTGCGAGCGTGCGCGATGCTATTTGGCTGATGTATTCGACACGCCATCAGCAAGTGCTGCAGCATCAGTGGCGGAGACTACAATTGGGCAGGGGCGCACGACACCAAATACCGGCGACGTTCAAATCCATGAACGGTTGAGAGATACTATGTTTTATATCTAAATTGAAAAAATGCTTTTCTGCGGATACCGGTGATGATATATAATACTCGAGTACCTGTATGTTTTACCCGTGGCCATATTTGTCGGATAACGCGGCCTCTGTTGGCTCAATACGCAAGCGTTCTGCCCGGGTGGCAAATTTGTCGTACCACTGCTGTCTAGCAGGCAGCGCTATTTCGCAGCCTTGTTTCGCTAACAGTGTATTTGCCAAGCCAGAATTGTCAAGACCGTTCCGATCGACCTCAAAATCCATTACGGAAGAGGTAGACACAGAGAGCCGTATCATTCAGCAATTCGTCGTGAAGTCACGAAGAGCGGGCATCGGATCTGTCGTGGGCTCGGTGACGCTGAGGATTTCTTGCACTCTCTCTATTTCCAGGATCGCACCTCGGTGAGATTATCAGAGATCCAGCGGCCTTTTTCGTCTTCTGTGGCGTTCAGAAAGCATTCAGCGCGCTTCATTATCTGCACGACCAGCTCTGTAACGTAGGCCGTGCCCTCCGAGAGCTTAAGACGGACCTCGCAGTCAGTAGAGAGCATCAAATCTTTCTTAGCCAGGCGACGCCCGCCATCGAAGCGAATATGGCCATGATGCGATTCTTCAGGGTCATTTGACACTTGTCAAAGCCCCAAGAGGAGGGGTAATCCTTGCGGTTCTTGCGACCTCGTGTCTTGCCAATCGCGGTGACGCTGCCGCGGCAATGCGTCAGGCCACGCGACTTGGAAACACCGTTCGTGAGCGCCAACGTAATTTTGGTAGACGCATCGAGGCGGTTCTCGCCGTCGGCTTCCATGTCTTCATCATCTTCGTCATAATAGCTGGGAGAAGGCTTGTCCGAAGGGGTGGTGGTAGGCAGCTTATTCTTGTCAGGTGAACATTGCTATCATTCTCCACCTCGGCGAGGCGCTGGACGTTGATTGCTTCGGCGGGACCCCCCCGCCGGACGACACAGTCATCCAAATTTTCATAAAATTACTGGCATTGGAGAAGCAAGTGCTACACTTGCCGGTGGCATCGGGCGCGTATTCAGTGATCTTCTTGCCGGAGAGTTTGGTGGCGTTGGCTCAACGCCATGGACCGTTGTGAGATGGGCACTTCTCGGGGCGCTCGGTCAAGTGGGTGAGAATATGCGCCTTGAGGTCCTTGAAGACCTTCCTCGGACATAGCACATGCTGGGATCAAGCATAGACATAATGTGGAGGGCTCTGGGGCTTGAGGGCTCCGGCTTCTAAAAATAATGGCTGGAGCTTGGAGCGCGTAACGGCTTCGTACACACCATGTGTTTCGTGCTGAGCATGCATTACACTGAGATGAGCCAAACAGCGCGACACGCATAATTGACAAATTTTGGTTGGAGGCGACAAAATTGCCATGTTAATCGTTTTTTAGGAAATAAAATAGTACTTAGACGAGATGCACGTTCATGCGCCCCATGACGAATATCTCCCGACCAAGCAAGAGCTGACGGTGCAGCGCACGCAGTGGCAAGGCAGACCGGCGACCAAGAGCAGCCGTGGACGCTGTTGAGCCGCTGAGCCGCCGCAAGTCTAGCTCCTCCTCAACACAGGCCGTGACATGCTGAGCGACAGCGGGCAAGTCACCAGACTCCTCACGGTACGTCTCGGGCAACAGCGCCAGGAGCTGATCGCAATCGTCTCGGGGCGCGACACTGCATTACTCGAGGAGCCAGATAGAAGGCAGAGAGATTCGGATAAATTGAAAAGTAAAACAGGCGTAAACCATACCGGCAACAAACATTATAACTTGTCCAGTTCAAAAAAACTCGTATCAGAAGCAAAATCATCAACACATTATTGTCCACCGCTTCCTACAGCTCCCCATCGGACATAAAGTGCGACCCTCCAGCGCAGCGCCACCCGCTTGCCTGGCGAATCCATTCATATCCCACTGGGCATCGTCCTTGCATCTGCAGATTCTTCCTAGTTTCGGCTTCCTTCTTCCGCTCTTCTTCTTCTTTGATGAGCTCCTGGATGATGCGCTTCCGGAGCGCGTCATCCCGCGTCTCCACCTTGAGCTTCTGCTTCTTCTTGTACTCCGCTTCGCGCTGTCTCTCAGCCTGCGCGTCGCGCTGCAGCTGATCCCAGACCTCGTCGCTCACTCCCGCGTCACGAACGGCAGCTTTTACACCGCTAGTGGAAGAAGCAGCGGTCTTAGTGGGCTCCGGTCCGTCCGCGGGCGGCGGCCCGTCGTCACGAGCATTGTCTTTGGAGACCGGCTGCGAGGTTCTCTGCGCAGAGCCCAGAGAGACTTGAGGGGCCACGTTGGCACTCTTCATTGGACACATCTGTTGCAAAAATGTCGCTTTTGATGGCGCATGCAACGTCTGGCGTGACCGACTCTCCCGCTCTATGACCATGGCTTCCATCTCCGCCTTGACCATGGCTTCGATCACCGTAATGGTACCGTCCGCCTCAGAAGTACCCGCCTTCATCGCGGTCTGAAAGATGGATCTTGCCAGCTCCTCAACGTCTCGTGCGTTTCCCCAGCCCGGAAGCTTAGACAGACGCTCAAACAGTCGGCAAACCTCAGTTTGGAACTCAGCAGCCGGTGTCTCCAGGCAGTCGAGCCCCATATTGCCCTTACCACCCTTCACGATGGAAGCCTTCTGCTTCAGAAAGTTCTTGCACAGCAGCTCGAAACAGTCCGCTGGTGGCAGGCTGTTGAAGTCGAGGACCTCGGAGAAGCGGCTCGTGAGTCCCGGGTTCACGGCTAAGAGGGCGTTCACGTCGTTTTCGTACCCGGCAAGAATAACGATGAGACGCTTGCGATATCGCTCCTTTGTGATGCAGTCCACAAGCTCGTCAAGAGCCTCCTTGGCAAACTGGCCCTCGCGCAGCCTGTAGGCCTCGTCGACGAGCAGCACCGCACCAAGGGCCTTGTCGAGCAGCTGCCGCACCTTGGGCCCCGTCTGCCCGACGTACTGCCCGACGAGGTCCGACGCCGAGCAGTCGTGCACTTTGCCACTAGCGAGAAACCCTGCGTCGTAAAATACTTTGCCCATCTTCCGCGCCGTCGTGGTCTTGCCGGTGCCTGGTGGGCCGCGGAAGATGAAGTTGAACGGCACGTGTTCTTTGGGATCCAAGCCAAGGTTCTTCGTCGCGCGCGCCGTCTGCTGATAGCCCTGTAGCATGGCCACGATGCGCTCACAGCCAATTGTGTCGCAGAAGAGCTGCGCTACATTGGCCTCGGCATTCTCCGCTCGACCGTGATCCTCGTCAAAGTCGAGGGCTTCCAGGGTGGACACTCGTAGGGTCTCACGAGCCATCAGTCGCGTCTGGTGACGAGCCTTGGCACCGTTGAGGAGAATATCTACCTCACCAGCGTTGCCAAAATTGGGACGACTGCGTGCGCGCTCGATCATATCCAGCGCGACCTTTTTAGCAGTTTGAGTCACCCCAAAGCCTTGCTGCTTGAGCTTCAGGTCCAGGATCCTGCTTATATCGGCCTGGGCGAAGTCTTCAAACGTAAACGCGTTGCTGAGCGGAAACCGTCGGCTGAGTCCAGGATTGACATTTTGGAACATTTCCTCCATCTGGTCCCGGTATCCCAGGAGGAGAACGCAGCGATTATCACCTGGGGTGCTGTGAACGTTGGCGACGATGGTGTCCACCACGGCCACCTTGTAAGGGTCCGAGAAGCCGCCGCCGCCTTTTGACGCAGCGCCGCCACCATAAAGCCCGTATGCTTCGTCAATGACCAGGATCTTTCCCACCGTTGCAGCGAGGATGCCGTTTGTCTGCTTCTCAGACTGTCCGATCACGGCGCCGACAAAGTCGGAGGGATTCTTGACAACAACTTCGCCGTTGGACAAGAGGCCCAAGTCCGCGAGTACCTCGCCGTAGAGCTTGGCAATGGTTGTCTTTCCCGTCCCGGGATTGCCCAAGAAGACGCGATTTAGGCTATACTCGATGATGGGCTTCTCGTCGAGCTCCCGTTGGTAGTTCACCGTGACGCTGTCGACGAGCGACTTGATCGACTCCTTGACGGAGTCCAGTCCGATCAGCTCCTGAAGCTTGACCCACGCCTTGGACTTGAGAAGGGCATTGGTCGGTTCAGGCCCCAGAAAGTCTTCCTTTGTGAGCAGCAAGTCGTCAGGTCGAGATCCTTCGCGCCTCTCTACCCGCAGCCTGTCGCTCTGCCGTCTATAGATGACGCTCAGCAGGTTCTCTACTGCGCGTGCGTTGCCAAAACCTTCTTTGCCTCGCGCGCGACCGACTCTGCAAGTGGCGATCCGGCAGTAGAGACCCTGTAGCCCCTCTTCTGCCTTCATACGGCCACTGTACTTTGCATCAATCTTGGACCCCATGATCTTCAGGAGCTCTTGATCGGTGTAGTCCTCGAACTTGACCTCGAGCGGGAAGCGGGACGGGATGCCAGGGTTGTGGGCAAAGAACGACTCCATCTGTCTGGCGTAGCCGGCGAGGATAAAGCAAATCTTGGACCTCTGGTTCTCGATCTCGGCGAGCAGAAAGTCGAGCACCGCGGAACCGCTCTGGCTGTTGCCCGACGACAGCTGGTATGCCTCGTCGATAAAGACGACGCCGCCGCCAGCATTGAGCATGTCGTCGAGGAGCTTCTGGCAGCCTGTGACGCCCATATTGGCGAGCTTGGCGCCGGTGACCTCCTCGAAGCGGCTGCCGGCGATGACGCCGGTGGTGGTGAGAAACTTGGCATAGAGCCTTGCGACCGTAGTTTTTCCTACATCACGGTTAGTTTTCCAGTTCGTAGTCATTTCTCCTAGAGTGCGGGCTACATATGTGTAGCAAAGGAAGAGAATCGCTTACCAGTGCCAGGATTTCCCAGAAAACTACATCCGAAACGCTCATCCTTAGTCGACACGCCCTGCCGAGTGGCTGTATCGACTGTTGTCTTGATGTTAAGGAATTCCTTCTTCACCGCCTCCAAACCAATCATCTCCATCAAAGTGTCCAATGTCTTGTTAGAGGCACCTTCATCTCGCTTCAGGCATTCCCACTCGTATCTTGCAGAGCCAGGCTCCAAGCTGAGTGTCCGGTCGAGTCCCGGAGTGCTCTCGGAGGGACTCCGTCCTATATTGCCCACAGAACTGTGTTTCCCTTTCTCCTGAGCCTTTTTGATAGACTCCTGACGCTTTTTCGTCTCCTGTAGCTCAGCCAGAGCCTCCCGCTCACGCTGTAGGCTTAGCTCTTGATTCTCTGCTTCCCGCTGACATTCCTGCTGTAGCTTCAGATGCGCCATTTTATCCTGAATGGCGAGAAGCTCATGCTTGTAATCTTCTTGCCTCTTCAGTCTCTTTTTCTCAATTTCTAGGTCTCGCTTTGCGCGACGCTTGATGTCCTCTTCCTCTCGCACGCATTCCGGGCATCGCGTAGGAGCCTGCCCGCACCGGACTTTGTACGCGTGCTGCTTCTGGCACGTCTTTTCCACGAGCTCGCCACATTCAAGGCTGCCGTGGTCCGTCACACGATGGCACCTGCGATGACACTTGTGCACGCCACATTTCATCATAGCGCCGCAAGGCTCGGCACAGCCGCCGTCTGGACACTTGAGATCAAAGTCCTGAGTGGTTGAAAGCGTTGCGGTGCGATCCGGGTGCCGCTCACAATACACCGGAAGGCCATCTTGTAGATAGCATTTCTCCTTCATACAGTGAAAGAAAGGCTGCCAGCAGTCGGCAGCGTGACGCGAGGCAAGGAATGTGTCCATGTTCCCGAACATAATGATGCCATTTCGAGCTCTGGACAACAGCACATTTAGGCGCTGAGGGGATTTCATAAAGCCAATATCTCCGTTGCTGTTGCTGCGGGTAAGTGAAGCAACAACAATATCGCTCTCCTCACCTTGATAGTTATCTGGAATAGTGTTAGTCTCGCATCAAACTAAACATCGACTCAGACAAGAAACGCACCAATTGTTGATAGGCGTATCTCGTTCTTTCCGAGTTTCGCCGCAGCCGTTGTGACCAGACCTGCACGGATGAGCTCATGCGAGTCAAGGTCGCTCAGCAACGGGTCATTGTCGCGACTCAGCATGTCCCGAAGAAGCCGCAGCTGGCCCAAGTACGGCGTTAGGATAACAATGTTCTTCGTCTTGTAGCCTTGCTGTGCCAAGAATTTCACCGTCTTCAGGATCATCTGAGCCTCGAACTTATTCTCTTTGCTCGAAGTTTGGTTCGCGTCCAGGCGGTCGCCCAGGTCGTTGGCGCTGCTTTCAGGCTGGTGGTGATTGACAAATGTGACTCTGTCACGGAGGCCTCGTATCTGCGGTCTATTGAGCGTCTTTTCTCCGTCTTTCAGGTCCGGGTATGTCATGAAGCGCACGAGCTGTGAAATTTCGGGATGCATTCGATGCTGCTTGTGGAGTGTGCTGTGCTCTTGCCCTGCCAAGATGAGTCTCTCAAAGAGTGACCTGTTGAGATCGTATCCGGCGCCTTTCTCAACACTCAAGGCGTAGTTCTTGCACTTAGGCCGTAGCTGTTCGTGATCTCCAATCAGAATCAGGCCTTTGGTCGAGGTGCTTAGAGCTGTGAGAACATGAGCTTCCAAAATTTCACCAGCTTCCTCGACCAAAATGTATTCGGGCTTGGCCGCCTTGATCAAGGATGAGTACTTGGCTGCGGCAGTGGTCGTGCACCCAATGATTCTTTTGGTCTTGATGAAGGAGCATCGTGACTCATTGAACAGGGATTCAATCTGGGTCTGTGTGTTGTTGAACCGTTCGATGTAGCCGTGTAGAGCTTCAATGTGCTCTTCACGAATGGCCTCGGTCCACTTGCGACTCCAGACAAGTCTCTGTTCCCTGTTGTACTTCCAAATTTTCCAGAGGTCTGCATCAACCTCTCGTGAGAGAATACCCGGCCCTTTGTTACTGTGCCATCGGTCGAGGAGATAACCAGTCTGCATCGCCGCACCATTTCGGTCAGTGATTGTAAACCCATCCTCTTCATGCGGTATCTGGAATGCGCGCCAGAAGAGCTGCGACTCTTGGTCGTCAGCGAGCTCAAGATAATCAATGATCTCTTCTAGGGAGGGTCTCTTGGCGATCCTGTCAAATGCGTATTCTATATCCTCTCGAAGGCTCCTGAGCTCGTCTTTAAGCGTGTAAAACAACGTTTTGTGCTCAGAGATTCCAGATGGGCGCTCGCGCGACTGCAAGTCAAAAGACAGCTTGGCTGTAGCGTCTGAAGATTTTGATCCAAGTCGTGTTATAATTTTCTCGTCAATTCCTATATTCAAGAGATCTTCCAGGAATTGGTCGAGCGCATGGTTCGTGTAGGAGAGAACGAGGATCCGCCCAGGCGAACCTTCAAGAAGCAGCTTAGCTGCGAGCGCGCCGACAAAAGACTTTCCCGTGCCTGTATTGGGAGTCGGCAGTTAGCAACGAGGCTCAACCGGAATAAACTAATATTCTAGCTCACCAGGTGGTCCTTGGATTACAGCAAGCGGGTTTTGTAGCGCCGTTACTAGAGCGCCAGCCTGCGCCGCGTCTATGTGGTAGCTTCGACCTGCAATCTCCAAATGGGCCCCATCTGGGTTGTGTTCTCTAATTCTCCATATCTCGGCTTGCAGTTTTGCGGGTATCTCAAACCTCTGCTCCGCATCGCCATCCTCCATCTGCAGCAGATACTTGTCGAGTGGCAGCTCCGTGATTTCTTGAAGGCGTCGGAGGACAGGTTCATATGCGAATACAGGAGTGTCTATTAGGATAAACTCCAAGTTATTCGACTGCACAGCGTTGCGCAAGGCCTTCTCCATGGTTTCAGAGGAACAGAATGATAGACTGAGCAGTGAAGGATCTCTGACGAGATCGTCAATGTTGCGGACCGTAAAGGCAAAACCAATAATAGTGCAGTTCGAGGAGACGGCTCCAAACGCCTGATGGGGCAAGAAGCTTCGGTTCTCAGTTAAAAACTTCTTTCGCTGGGCAGCCGGCAGCTTGGTAAGCCTCTCGAGCCCGGAACCGACGCTGACTTGAAGGGCGCACTGCCGGGCTCGCCCCTCGTCACCGGTGTCGATGCCAACCGGCACGAGATTTTTCAGGATTTGGCTTCGCCTCTTGCCCTTTCGTTTTCCTGTGGCGATTACAATATCGTCACGAAGCTCTGCCAACATGTCCTCGCGGAGAAGACGGAACTGGTTGTCAAGGTGCGTGGCAGTCCTCTGGGCTGGGCCAGACTGTGATACTTCGACAGCCTGTCGATAGAATGGTGGGATTGTCGAAGTGAGCTCATCGCTGCTTGGGTAGATGGAAATTTGTCGGAAATCTGTAAAATCGTTGTCGTGTCTCCCTCCAGGGCCATCGACATCGTCTAAGTTGTTAGACGAGGATCTTGTCTGAAGAACCTTTTGGATGCGGTAGCCAAGTTCGCGTGTCCTGGAACCGGGACTTTTCGTAAACGGACGTGTGTTGGTGGCGTTTTTAATATCTCTGGTCAGCCCAACAAGCTCTGGTCCAGAGAAGGTGACAATCTCAAAACATAGCCCTGCAAAAGCTTCTGCGTCCTCGTCGGCAAAGCTACCAGCGACGTAGTGCTTCTGGATGGCATTCCATGCAGTTGGCGGCTGCAGGACAGCAACCATAAGCTGGTATAGGAGTGTCCCCTCACATAGAGCCTTGGCCTCGGTCTGGCAAATGTATTGCAAGAACGGCAGGACATGGTCAGAGATGAACTGGAGACTGGCGCTGGCTCGCACGCTGGATTTGACGACGGCAAGGCCAAATGGGCTCGCAAGGATGGCCTCCAGACACACTGATGGAGATGTTTGGACTCTGGCAGCCTCGAAGAATACTTCCGCTTCGTGAGGAGTTGAGACCGATCGATTTCCGTGTAGAAAAGAATTGAAGATCTTTTTCAGGCGGACGGCACGTACACCATCACTCGCCATTGCTTTTATCGTGATCAAGGGCACCAAGCCATATGTTTTCAACGACTGGTAGACTCGAGGAACTTTGCAAATTCGTCTAATGATGAAAAGTTGTTTTCGTTTGTAGTCTTGTGGGAAAGGTAGACATAGGCAGACAGGCTGTGTTGGGTAGCGTACAGGTACGTGCTGCATTGTGACAAGACCGGTCGGGCGCCTGCAGGTCTTGCAACGCATACATGGCTGCCTTATTGACCCCGTTTCGTTTGTAATTGGGCGCGTAACATTCACCGAAATTGGTCTCTACGCTTCCAGTATTCACTTTCTTCTGTCCCCTCTCCCCTCTCACGTGCGTCTTGTCATTGCTTCGGCTTGGCTGCCGACTCTATACAGACGCACTGGCAAACAGAGCACTCTTGTTCCATACAAAAAAGAGGCAAACATGAATCACAACAACTTTCCTCGTTTTACTCGCGGTCGCGGGGCCTCCCCTCATGGTCCCCGTGGTGGCAAGGTGGGCAGGGCAACAGCCGCTGAAGTGGTGCCGCCTGCCCCTCTGGGCCTTGTCGTTCGGCAATTTCTTGCCAGTGATCTTCCTCGCACCGTTTCCGCGGAGAAGACTCTTGAGATCACCGACGTGGAGACGATCGCTTCGTTCAACTGGCTGGACAAGGCTGATGCACACATCACTGTTCCTGGTTCGTATCATTAATATCAGCAACAACATTCGCTTGCGACGCTAGAGTCACTGACCAGTGACACAGGCATGCCCCCCAAATGGACCCCTCTTGACCAGCCTCGCAAGCTCAAGCAGGATTCGGGTACCTACTATCGAGATAAAAATGCAGCTCACTATCCAGACTTTCCGCTAGAAGCGTCGGTCGAGGCTATCATGAAGATGAACTCGAACGCGGACAAGGCCTCATACCCGGGTCCGATTGATGTGTTTGGCTGCGCCAGTACCCTGGGAAACCTCCTCCGGTTTACAAGAGGCGAGAGCGCGAGCTTTCGAATCCTAGTTGAGGTGGTCGGCACTACTGTACACTTCATTCGTCGCGAAAAGTCCTCGCGGGAAATCATTCAAGATGTTTTCGGCTACGGTCATACCTTTCCGGAAAATTACACTACCTGGGACAAGTCAGTGCGAGACTCGGCCTCCCATCAGCGCATCCTCAAGTATCACTTTGGTGGCTTGACGCTCCTTGTGCGGTTCGAAGGCGATGGCTATCTCCCCGATCATGCTTGTGCATCGTCGTCCAAAGACGCCAGCAGCGATAAGGCAGTAGGTGCTGCCTCGGTCGACGACTTGATCGCGTCCCTTTCTGTCTCGCACAAGGCTCCATCATCCAACAATTCGCTGACCATCTCCGACGGCGGCCGTGCGGTTCCGTCTCGAGCCACTTTTGACCTCAAGACCCGCAGTGTCCGCCGCAAAGCCGAGGAGGCCAAGATCATCGCCGGCGAGATGCCCCGTCTCTGGCTCCGGCAGACGCCGACCCTGATCCTTGCCTATCATGAGCAGGGCGTCTTTCGTGACATCAACGTCCAGGATGTGCGTGCCGGCGTGGGGAAATGGCAAGACGAGAACCAGGAGATCCTCGCGCGCTTTTTAGGGCTGCTTGAACGGATTGTGGGTTTCGCTAGGGAGCAGACAGTCAGCAAGTTGGAGATCACATGCGACGAAGGGAGCGACACTCTTTACGTTCGGGAACAAATTGCAGTCACAATGTCGGCATTCTCTCCACCCGTCGAGGATCGCTGGAAATCGTGGCTCGCAGATCATGGAACAAGTGTCGATGGTAAGGATGATGAGAAAGCCGGGCAGCTTGAGCCGGGAAGTGGTGATGAGTTAGATCGTATCAGCCTCGACTACACGGCTTGCGATGATGAGTGTGGCTACTGTGGTCGCTGTGCATATTGAGCGGTTGAAAAAGAATTGGTTCCCACATAAAATTTTGCTAGGTGGAACTTAATAAACTTGATTGTCATGGATCTGATGCTTCCGTCAGTGAGAGACACTTTCCTCGAAGCTGACACTAGCTCTTCTTTTACGTCTAATGAGATGTTACCGCACCACAATCATACAGTATTCATCCCCATTTCTACATGAATTGAAAACAACACATCTATTCTTCTTTCAATATTTATTATGCTACGGTAGAGATCTTGAAGCTAACTCGTCAAACTGCAGCAATTGTTATTGTTAGTTATTGTTGTTATCTAACGTCTATGTGGTAGCTCTGGTGTAAGCAAAGAGACGTGCTATCTATGGCTCAACGGACAATTGTGTCGCCGTTCCAGGGAGCATAACGTGGCGCGCGCCAGCAATTGTGTGTGTGTGTAAATTAACGTCTGTTACTGCGCCCTAGAGTAGGCTTTAAGACGTGCTATCGAGCTATCAACAGACTATTGTTACCTGACCGCACCTACTTAGTAGGTTTCCGTAGAGCGCGACAAGTTATGCTCATTCTCTAAACGGAATACCCTTGGGAATTCCTCTATATAACCGTCCTCCAACTGTAGCAGTTTCGCGCCTAACGGCATCTGTCTGTCTTAATCGATACCCGTTAGCGGGATCACGATGATGTTTTCTATGTGCTTTTTAGACTCCTGCAGCTAAAATTCTCTCATAGGAAGAGGGGAAAAAACCTATGCTATAGTATAGCTTGGGAAAACCCTTAATAGCCAGAGATAGTGCGTA